GACGACATCTCCTACACGCTCCTGGCCGACTGCGATGTTCTGGTCGCCCGTTCGCCAGCGCACTTCGTCAGCGACGTGCAAAAGGTCAGGGCCGTGTTCAAGCCGGAGCTGCACGCCCTCAAGGACGTCATTGTCTTTTCCGCCAAGGGAAACATTCCGCTCGCCGAGAAGCTGTCGGGCGGCGACTACGACGGAGACATGGCATGGGTGTGCTGGGATCCCGATATCGTGGAGAACTTTGACAACGCCGATATGCCGGAGGAGCCAGACCTCTCGGCGTACCTCGGCAAAGACAAGACCACGTTCAAGGAGCTGGTGCGGCAGACCGGGCAGGCCGGCCATTGCGCTCGCCACGAAGCTGTCTATGACATGATCAACAAGAGCTTCCAGTTCGCCATGCAGCCCAACTACCTCGGCATCTGCACCAACTACAAGGAAAGGTTCTGCTACCACAACAACAGCGTCAGTAACACCGCCGCCGTTTATCTTAGCACCCTCGTGGGTAAGCTGGTCGATCAGAGCAAGCAGGGCATCATCTTCACGGCCGAGTGCTGGGACCGGTTCCGGCGGGACAACTTCCGCGGCAAGATGTTCTTTGAGGACCCTGCATACAAGGGCGACCACTGGGGCGGGCCAGGCGAGCCGCGCCACATCATCGACTATCTCAAGTTCTCCATTGCCAAACCCGCCATCGACCGCGAACTCGAGTCCTTCCACAAGTCCATGGCGACCGAGAAGCGCTCCTCGGCCGAAAACGCCGAGGACGCCGCCCACCACTGGGACCCGGACCTCGCCGTCTATCACGAGCACTTCAAGGAGCTCACCAAAACCTCCCGCTCGCTCAAGGCCCTCCTGGAAGCCCTCACGAACGCCATCAGCGCCGTCGAGCGCGAGTGGAAGCGCCTGGTTAGCAGCCGCGACTCCAGCCTCGGCACCTACCCGGAAAAGGTCAAGCAGGTCTACGCCAAGTGGCTCGCCGTCGACCTCGCCTCGGTCGTCAGCCGCGAGGGCTCCAACCGGCTCGACCCTAAGACGGCCGCGCTGCTGGACCCGCAGTTCCTGGCCGACCGCGGCGCCGGCGCGACGGGCTACTGGGCGCTGCTGAGGGCTAGCGTCGCCTTCAAGGCGTATTACAAGAAGAACCCCAAGTTTGTCTGGCAGATGGCTGGGTGCCAGCTCGCGTTTATCAAGGCGCAGGTGGGTTCTGGGGTGGCGGGGGGTGGTGCCGAGGGCATGCCGCTGCTGGTGGTGCCGCTCATGTATGCCGGGCTGGCGCCCGACGGGCGGTTCGTCAAGCAGTACATTGCGCGGTTGGAGGGCGACGGGTCCGAGTACCCCGGCGTGGATGGGGGCGAGGAGGACGAGGGGGACGCGGAGAGGGAGGATGACGTTGATTGAGGATGGGTTGGGGCGTTGCTTTTCCTTTGATTTGAGCGGCCAATTTCATGGTTATGGATGGACTTAATCAGCGATTTCTTTCAGGTTTTGGGGCAAGCGGGCCAGGATTTAGTTTATCTGACCATTCATTTCGCTGATGGCACATTTATGATATGGTCTGCGTTGTCTTTGGTTGATATGCGTTGTCTGTGTTTTTGATCTGCGAGTCAGTGTTCCAGCGTGCGTGTCTTGGTGTCAGATCCTCTTCTGGTTTGCGGTTTAAGGCTGCAACCCAGCTGGATGTAGCGACGGGTGGCTTACGATACTGACGCTGTTATTCACCTGGCTTTGTCTGGCCTCTGGTTTTGAGTTGGGGGCCTTCAATATTCGAGTCGTCTCCCACCAGACTTCCTCTCAAACCCCTGAGCCATCAAATTCGCATGGCCTTGCGCAACCTCGTTTGTTTGCTCCTGATCGGACAAAACGCCGGGAGGCGGAACTAGTCTAGAGGAAAAAGGGGGCACGAACGAGCAACTGCCGGTCAGACAAAACATGACGCCACCAAGAGAACCCCTCGCTCGTCTCCGCCTGTATTGCTATCACACCCGTCCCATCGACAGACAGCCTCCGTTTCTCTTGGCAGCTTGCCAGTCAATAACCCATTGTCCCGAGACTGCTAAAAGCGGAAGCCAAGACTCTTATTGCATGGCTAATATCCTCTGAGGTTTGGGGTTGAAGTCACACTCGAGCCCCGGCTATTCCCCAACCTTCCAGCCCGGAGCACGGCAGACCCAGGTAGCTAGGACAAGTAACCGCTGCAACCTGGGACAAAGTTCCAGGCCCGAGGAGGATGTAACTTCCCCACTTCCTCCTCCCGGGCGTTGAATAAGCTTAGACGAATCCCAGCGGCTGATTGCATGCCGTCGCGCCGGACCATGGGACGCGTCGAGCCCCGCAGCTTGTCATTGCTTTGGCAGCCTGGCTCTACCCATCGTCTCCGCATCCTTTAGGTCACCAATATGTAACTTGCGGAGCACTCGGCACAGGGACGAGAGCAATGTGGTCCCCCCTGGCCCATTCTCCGGCAAATCGGCCAGTCAGGGGGTCTAGCAAAGTTCCCTATGAACAACAACAGGGCTGCTGCCCAATCGGCAATTCTCCGAGCGTCTCCACTTCCTCACTCAGCTCCCGTAGATCAGCTGCCCTCCTTCTCGGGAGCGACCCGGTGGCTGTTCCGGGCTTGGCGGGCTTGTATAGCATTGCTCGACTAGGGGTACTCCAAGAAGGCCACTCAAGCTCACCATAGGCTCCTCGCGGATTCGGCTCGGCTGCAAGGTGCCGAGATGAGGCAGGGACCAAGTTCTTCCAAATGGATAACGGCAGTGGTTAGTACAAAAGATAGTCACCTCCTCGATACCCCTTTTTTCTGAGGCTAACCTGAGAGCCACGGCTTGTGCCCTTCTGCAGTAAAGAGCAGTATTCAACATGAAGTTCTTCGGGAAGGGCGGTGCCAGCACACTGCTCTCACTAGCCCTCGTCCACAGCCCGCTGACCGCAGCACAAACTGCCCCTGCCGATGGCGCCGTGTACGACTACATCGTGGTCGGAAGCGGGCCGGGCGGCGCTGTTCTCGGGGCCAACCTCGCCAAGGGAGGATATTCCGTCCTGCTCCTTGAAGCCGGCGACAACAACCCCGGCCAGGGCTTCGGGCGGTACACGCCCACCGTGACGTGGGATTTCTACGTCAAGCACTACCCCGAGGGCGACCCGCGAGACAACCAGTACAGCCACATGACGTGGCTCACCCCCGAGGGCCGCTACTGGGTTGGCCAGAGCGGCGCGCCTACGGGCTCCAAGCTCCTCGGCGTCTACTACCCGCGCGGTGCCACGCTTGGAGGATCGTCCATGATCAACGCCATGGTCTGCTGGCTGCCGAGCGACGGCGACTGGAACTACCATGCCGAAGTCACCGGGGACGACAGCTGGCGGTGAGTGTAACCCCTGACTCACCGAGTTCCTACTGACAGCCCCAGCGCCGAGAACATGCACAAGATCTTTTCCAAGATCGAAAAGAACAACTACGCCGTCAAGGGCACAGCAAACCACGGCTTCGACGGCTACTTCCAGACCCAGATGGGCGCCATGACGCAGTCCAAGCAGTCCGGCCCGCTGCAGGGCAACAGCGTCATGGCGGCCTACGCGAAGGACTGGAACGCAACGCTGTCCATGTCGGACCTCCTGATCCGCGACCCCAACGAGATCAGCGCGGCGCGCGACCAGACCTCGAGCATCTACGGCCTCGTCAACCACCAGTACGCCAACGGCAACCGCTACAGCTCGCGCGACTACGTGCAGGCCGCCGTCGACAGCGGCGCCAACCTGACCGTCTCGCTCACCTCGCTCGCCACGCGCGTCCTGTTTGATACCACCTCCAAGTGCGGGTCGGGAACCACCCCGCGCGCCACAGGCGTCGAGTTCCTTTTCGGCAAGTCCCTCTACAAAGCCGACAACCGGCGGGCGGCGACGGCCGCGGGGGTCAAGCGCACGGCGGTCGCGCGGCGCGAGGTCATCGTGGCAGGCGGCGCCTTCAACTCGCCGCAGCTGCTGCTGCTGAGCGGCATCGGCAACGCGACCGAGCTGGCCAAGTTCAACATCCCGCTGATAAAAGACCTGCCCGGGGTAGGGCAGAACCTGATGGACAACCAGGAGATGCCCATCGTGGGGACGGGCAGCGGCGGGAACGGGATGGCCGGCGTGGCCATGTACAAGACGCGGCACCCGGCGCACGGGGAGCGGGATATGTTCCTGATGGGTGGGCAGGGGTTTTTGTTCCGGGGGTTCTGGCCCGACAACCCGGTGCGGACGCCGGCGGATCCGCAGCAGCCGTATGGCGTGAGCATGGTGAAAGGGTCGAGCGTGAACAACAAGGGGTGGGTGAAGCTGCGGAGCGCGGACCCGATGGACACGCCCGAGATCAACTTTAACCATTACGCGGCGGGCGCGGAATACGATCTCGAGGCCATGAAGGATACCGTCGCGTGGATCCGGACCGTGTACAAGCGCGTGGGCATCACGACGGTCGAGCCGCCGTGCTCCAAGGGCGCCGATGCGAACGGGTACTGCGGGAAGGAGGACGAGGACTGGATCCACAAGCAGACGTTTGGGCACCACCCGACGTCGACCAACAAGATTGGCGCGGATGATGACCCGATGGCGGTGCTCGACTCCAAGTTCCGCGTCCGGGGGGTCAGCGGGCTGAGGGTGGTGGACGCGAGCGCGTTTGCCCGGATCCCGGGTGTCTTTCCCGCGGTGTCGACGTTTATGATCTCGCAGAAGGCGAGTGACGAGATGCTGGCCGAGCTGAAGGACGGGACGGCGTTGAAGCAGTGCTAATGGCGAGGGCTCAGGGGTTCAGGGGCTTGATGGGGCTTGATGCGTGGCAAAAAGGAGGAAATTGTGTGTATCGAATTTGTCCAGAATACAATGATTTGGTTTGATTGTTGATTAAGGGCCATGGTATTTGAGCTCCCCTTTACCCCTGATCCAACCTCGGGGCTCAGCTGCGGGCTACGCCCGTGGCAACACCTTATTCAAGACAAGTTCCAGCACGTTGCAATTCAGTTGGGCGTGTGGTGCAGAGGTTAGCATACTTGCTTTGGGAAAACCTCTTTGCAAGTGGTCCCAGGTTCGAACCCTGGCTCGCCCCTTTTTGATTTTAGCCCCTTTGTACATCTACTAACTAACCTCTACCCTTCTTGAAACCACCTCATTCATTTGCCCCTGCCTTGGTGGCATACTTGGCTTAGAAAATCAACCTGCAAGTAATAGTCCCAGGTTCAAGCCCTGTTTTTGTGCTGCCCCCACAACATTGGGCAGTGACTGGATTCCCACGATATTCTCCTGTTGTCTCTCGACTTGAAGTGACTCATTGCTTGGAAACGATGACTCGAGCTCTGGGACTCATCATTGTATCAATTACCCGCTGACCTAAACCGCAAACACCTCATTCGCCGCCGCCGTCAGCACCGCCGCGGCGGCCAGATACAGCTGCGGCCCAACGCTGACTCTCGCCGCGCCCAATCTAGCAATATCGGCACTGCTCAGCGCCTTGCTCTGCACCGGTGAGACCTTGCGCGGCTGGATATTCGCCAGCCCGTCCAGCCCGTCAATAACGCGCTTGACATCCCCCTCGACCATCTCCCTGCTCGGCGGCCAAAACACGTACACAGTCGTGGCCCCCGCCTCCAGGAACCTCCTCCCGCGCCGGATCGACTCGTCCAACTCCCCGCCCTTGAGGAAACTATCCGACCTGGCATTAACCACAAAGTCCGGCACGCCCACCTCCCTCGCAACCTCCAACACCCTCCTCACCCTCCCCACAGCCTCCTCCTCGCCCATCACCCCCCCGCCCTCGTGAAACGAATCCTCCAGATTCACCCCCACGGCCCCGAGCTCGGTGATCACCCGGCGCACGACCTCCTCCAGCCGGTCGCCGTACCCGTCCTGGATGTCCACCGTCAGCGGCAGGCCCAGCTCGCGCGCGACGGCGGCGATGGGGGCGCAGAGCGCCAGGTTGTGCTCGAGGGTGAGCTGCTCGTCCTTGAGGCCGATTGTCTTGGCGAGGGCGTAGCTGGCCGAGGCGAGGGCGCGGCAGTTTGGCTGGGAGCCGATGATGCGCGCCGAGGTGGCGTCGTAGACGTTTGCGAGGAGGAGGGGGGTGCCTGGGACGTGGAGGGCTTTGAAGGCTGTGGCTTGGGCCGCGAGGGCGGCGATGGAGGGGGTGGCAGTGGTCATTGTGGGGTGTTGGCCGTGTTGATGCTGGCTGGGAGTTGGGATTGGTGAGTTGGATGACCCCGGAAGCAGGGAGTGAGTCGTTGAATGAGTCAAGGACATGGCCTTGGTCTGGTTGATGGCCAATGGCGGGCTTTAATCTGCCATTCTTCTCGGGAGTCGGAGGATCGCTCAGCCGACGGCTTCCGAGCTAATGCGCCCTACGGATAGATCGGCGTTCGGCTTACTTGTAGCCGTGTTGATTGAAGGGCGTCCTGCAGGAGAGACAGCTTGTCCAAGACAGAACTGGTCAACGGCTGGAGTGGCACCAGTGTAACTGTCTCGCCCGTTTGGGTAAACGACGTTCGCATTACGTTTCAGCAAGCTGACGTTCAAGGCATCGTGAGAGAGCCGGGCGAAGAAGCTGCTCCGAATATCACTAATACACATGGTAGACTTCTACGAGTAAATACTTAGAGAAAGACTTGATATGGTAGTTGATCATAACGTCGTAAAGTGAAAAGAAAGCCATCTAGATGAACAAGAAAACGCTCCTAGCAATGCAGCGCCCGCTCCAGCAACCCCAGATGGGTACAAATGTTGGTACAACCCGTCCCTCAAGCGAGCTCAGCGGCCGGGACCGCGAGCACACAGCTTGACCACCCTCCAGATAACTCCATGCCACCCGCCCGGTGTGCTGGGCCGTCAAGAGGGCCAGTCCGATCGCAGCGCGCAGCTGCATAGCCGGCCGAGACCCAGGGCAGTCGGGGATCTCTGTGGCGGACCTGCTACGAGCCGTCATGGCCCAGCACAACCCAGGGGTCGATGTCGTCCTCGCCCACCTCCACCGTCGCCGGCGCTGCATCCCCATTACACCCCTCGAGCAGGGCCCAAGCCCGCTCGTCGTCATCCTCCGCACCACAATAAGAAACCTCGGAAACAGAAATCGAATCAAGGAAATCCTCCGCCGACACGGCAGAAACAGCGTCGTCGACCAGCTCGTAAATAACCGTCAGCCGGGGGGTATCATGCGCGGCCTCGGTCCGGGGCCGGGGCTGCTCCAGCGCCGCCGACCCGTGCGAGGAAGAAGACGCCGAAGGTGAAAGCAACCACCCAGCCAGCGCCTCGTCCTCCCCAAACGCCGAAAACGCCAAATCCACCGCCGACGACAAGGAGACGTGCTGATAATCCGCCCTCCAATCCCGTCTGCCCCGCCTCAAGTGGGGGTTGGCAGGCCGCACCCGGAGCGAGTAAGCCGGCTCCTCCCGGACAATGCGGTCCAGCGAGAACCCCTCCCCCCTTTCGTACTCGTCGTCGTAGAGCAGGCCCATGCGGTACAGCTCGGCAACCTCCGCCTGCTCGTCCTGTTCCCTGCGGGCGGCAAGACGACCCCCCCGCGTCTCACCCCCCTCACTCGCCCAAGCCGACCGTCCGAACCAGAGACCCATCTCAACAACATCGACATCGTCGTCCCACACCAACGACCGCCTCCGCTTGGCCGTCTTGTCGTCGCGGAAGGCGTCCTGCCGCTCCAGCGACGGCGGCCTGGTGGAGCTGCTCCTGCTGCTGCTCCTGCTCCGGCGGAGAGGGCGCCTGCTGCGGTCGCCGTCCCCCTGGCTGGATGATGTTTGACTGGACCCCTGGCTGCTGGCTTGTTCTTGGCTGGACTCAGCATCCCCCGGGAGGCGGAGACTGGACCGGGCGAGCGCGCGGCCCTCGTCGGCGTCTGCTGCCCACGGGTTGCGCGGCTTCACGTGGTGGGTTTCGGCGGTCGCTGGGTGGGCGTAGGCTTGCTGGTGGTAGGTTTGGCGGACGCGGTCGCGGTGGAGCTTGCGCGCTTGGTTGGACTTGGGCCGCCGGGAGAGGCTACTTCGCTCGAGGGGGTAGGGCCGGAGGAGGGCTTGGGTGAGGTGACTTAATGGCTCGGAGGGGTCCAGGTCCGAGTCGGAGTCGGAGGTGATGGAAGGCCCACCCGAGGGCGCGGCCCCGGATGTGAGCGAGGTGAAAGAGGTGGGATTTCGGAGGGGGAGACCCATGGTGGGTTTTATGGGTGAAGTCAAAAAGTTGTAAGTTGGCCTTTGGGGCGGTTGTTGCTTGTCGGTGACCGAGGTCACCGAGAGTCTGTGAGTATGCCTGGTGCGAGCGTGAAGACTCGCCGGTGATGCGGGAGGCCGTAGAATGTCTGACCGAACGCAGGGGAAGACACCAGAACAAGGGAGAAGGGGTCATTGTCTTTTAACACAGGGCGCATTGTGTCAATCATCCAGGCCGCTTATTGGCCGTTCTTGGCTTCGTCTGCGGCGGCGTTGGGGTCATGGTGCGCCGCCCGGCCGGCCAAGTTCATTGGGCAAGGCCGCCAATGCCCGCCGTCGCTCTGTTGGGCCCCTCTGGGGGGGGGCTGAAACAGCGCCCGATTGGTGCGCCCAGGCCTGTGACTCACGGCCCTGCCCTTTCGGGACCGTGGTGGTGGCAGCGCCAGGCAGAGCTGCCGCCCCCCCTGTCAGTGGCTCAAGGCAGAACCCCCACAGCGGCAGGCGTCATCTGATGTTCTTCCAGGCATCGCAGCGCCTGTCGGGAAGACCGGCAGAAATGGGGCGGTCATCTGGAACCATTTAAGTTTATCAGTGGTTGATGGGTTTCTGACTGATTCCGCTTTTATTTTCACTCGTTGGTTGCTGGTCCCGTCCTTGGGGGCATGACCGCATGGCCCGAGGATGTGGTCGAGTCTGGCCAGGACCGCTCTCGTTGGCTGCCCTGCCGTTTTTTTGTCTTTTTCTGCCCTTCGGGCCTCTCTTCTGTAAACCTTGCCTTGCCTTGTTGCGCCTGGTTTTCCAACCGAACCCCTGTCCCACGAGTCATACCTCAGGTTCACATCCTGCTCTCGGCTACTCCGTGAGTCCTCCGCGCCCTGGCGAGCAAAACATTCGACTCTACACGGCAGGGTATAGTAAGTGCCGAGGTAGTCATGGGCTAATATCGACGCCATGGCAGCTGACACAACACTTTGCTCGTGGCGGTTCGGGGACTCCGCGGGCTGCTCGCGGGGCAAGGTGTCATTGTGCATTTGAATGAGAGCGTCAAGTTCGTGAAGGGCCTTCTATTCCAGGCGTCATTACTGTCATGATAGCGCGTCGTCGACCAGTTTCTCTACCGCTCTCATGGTCTCGGCTGCTTCGGACGCCGCCTTGCGAGTCTCCTCGCCCAGGCCAGAGTCTTCGTTGGCCAGCTCGTCGAACCGGCCCAGCCAGAAGCGCCACCGCTCAAGGCACACAGCGGACGGTCCACAATAGAATGAGCCCTGCTCCAGGTAGCCTCCCTAGCCTTCCCGAGGGACATTGGTGGAATCCATATTCTCCCACGCCCACCGGAGGAGGGGCTTGGCCGCATACTGGATCCATCCGCAGGCGACCTGTATTCTGCACTCCGCGATGCCCACATCGGGGAGCTTGTCCAGGTCTTGCTCGAGCGCGTCCCGCAGGGTATACGCCAGTTCAAGGTACGCGCCCAGCAGGCGTTCTGCGAGGTATCGAGCGCCAAACAGGCTGATGTTTCGCCATATCTGTGCCGACACCTGCGTGAACTCTGCCCCGGTTGAGGTTGGGTCTGTCTCGCAAGGGTCAGATACGCATCTCCTCCTGGTAATTTAGGATGCTTGGGCAAGAACATACCGTCGTACCAGGCGTCAAAGCATAACATGCCCAGGGGCAAGTCCTCCCATACGCGTTTTTGGGGCTTCTGGTTATTAGCAATGACGGCAGGGAGGGAGAGGAGCACCGAGACTGAACCCCAGTTCCCCTCTTGCATGCTGCTTCAGCTGCCTGAGAATTTCCACGAGACGTTCGTGAACCTCGCTTTCCACATCGGGACTCCCGGCGATGGCCATGATGATTTCCCAGAGCCCCCAGAGATAGTCGGATGCCTGGTCGCTGTCTTCTA